CCCCTCCCGCCCCGCCAGCCGGTGGCGGCGGCCAAGAACTTGGGCTTCCAGAACCTGCCACACAGGGAGATTTTTCTTCCGCTTGAGTGTGGCGTTAGTTGTTTTCCTCCCCTCTTTCTGTTTTTGTTTACGTTTTTGCGCTTGCTATGTTTCTGGCATTTTAATGGTTGTTTTTTTAAAAATTTGTTTGTGTAGGGGTATTTTTGAGGGAGAGTACAACAACGGGGGTTTTCTTTGCTGTATGATTGTATGTTCTTGCTTTTCTTTATTCTTTCTGTCTTTACTTCTCGTTTATTTGTTAGTTGGTACGCCTGTGCTTTCCCTCTTCTTCTGTCCACTTCCTTTTGTCTTCCTTCCTTCCTTTTTCCATTCTTTTCCTTTTTCTTATCTCTTCTTGCTTTCAGGGGGCAAGCAGACACCCCCCACTGCATGGACAGATTGTAAGGCAGTGGGACGTGGGTTCCAGGGGGGCCCACACACCTGTCAGCAGATACTGGGATCTGCAGAGGGCTTTGAATCCCAGCTCCCCCCTTAACTGAATCTCAGAACCGCAAAAAGCACAGGCCCCACCCACAGTGCAGCTTCAGACTTGAACAAAGCCAAAGGATCTACATAAGGAAGAATAGGACACTGAGCAAACAGAAATGAAAGCTCTCCCCCCATTCACTGAACAACAGATTTAAGGAGGCAAGGGGGAGGGCAGGAAAACCTACCCAAACAGAGGAAAACCAGAGGAAGAATATGAGTCTCACGCAGACCTTTGGGAAGATGGCCACGAAGAACGCAGACTCCGGAACTCAAATAATGAAGAGCCCCCAGAATGACGGGTCTCAAACCACAAACCCAGATACCATGATATTAATAGAGAGAATAAAGAGAAATGAGGAGAGACAAGAGGAAAGAATGATTTGATAACTGAAACAACAGCAAGAAATAATACAGTGAAGTAAATAACAAACTGATAAGCATGGCGAGCAGAATTAACCAAGCAGAAGAAAGACTCTCAAAACCTGAGGACCAGAATATGGAACTCAAACTGTTAAAAACACAGAAAAGCAGCGTGAAAAGCAGAACAAAACCTCCAAGAGATGAGCGATTATGTCAAGAAGCTGAACCTAAGATTAACTGGAGTCCCTGAGGCAGACAGAGAGACAAAGACCACCCTGGAACAAACATTTCATGAAATTAGCCAAGAAAACTTCCCACATCTCACCAGTGACACGACCATTCAAACAAGAGATTCAGAGAACCCCTGCAGGACAACAAATGAGAAGACCAACTCCTAGACACACAGTAAATTGCCTACACAAAGTAGGTATGAAAGAAAAAATCCAAAGGCAGCAAGAGAGAAAAGTCAGACTACTC